ACATTATGGAATGCAGAATTTTGTGATCTCTTCAAAGAATATTCCAGGAAAGGTGAGGGAGAATCCGATACTTCTGAAGATGTATTTAAAGCCTCTGCCAACAAGATCATCTTAAGAATTAAGAGATTTTCTTAGTCATTTTGCTTTCAGTGCTGCTGACATTTCTAAATAAGAGGCTGACAATAAACTAATTCAGAATGAGTTCATGCCTTCAGGCTTTTATCATACGATAGACACAGAAGTTTCCATAGGAAAAAAAAAGCCAGTGCAGAGGATAGGGTGTGGAAGGCTTTGCTTGAGTCAACATTTCTCATGTCAGCAGTGTTTTAGATTTCCTGTTGGAAAGAATCTTTCAACTTCAACAGATACCAGATGCTTTCTTTCTTTATCTTTTTCTTAATCCCAAGTTGCCAACGGCCGTTGTAGAAATAAAAAATTCTGTCTGGTTCTGCAGATGCATGCCTGACTTTTAATTAACCCAGAGAACACATATAGATCAAATTTGCTGTATCCAGTCATCTGTACTTGAATTAGGGTGAGGGATGTCTTCAGTGCTGTAATGTATTAAAGTTTATTTTTAATTAACCTGCTTTGCACTTATAAGTGAAAGCTGATTAGTACAGCTCATTCATTGTTTATATCTAGGACCACTGGGAATGGTTTGATTTCTCTACCTACTTGGTTCTGAGCCATAAATATACATCCACTACCTGCTACTTTCAGGTTTTTCATTGAACTGATACCAGTATTTGTAGGAGTCCATATTATATACTAACAAAGTTTTCTTAGGGCAGGATCCTGGAAAAGATTTCTGAATCTTTGTCCACGTCAGCTCTAGCTCTTGCTAGTATGTAAATCACGGATCTGAGTTTTGCAGATAGAACCAATTCTTATTCTTCTTAAGCAGCTGTGAACTATCCTTAAATAACTTCTCATTTTGATGAGAGAGCATACTGAATCATAGAAAACCAGGGGCTTACAGAGCTCATCTCCCTCCTTTCAGTCCTGAGTGATATTTAACTTGCTGGCACACCACGGCGATTTCATACAGAAGGGAAAAGTGCATCCTTCCTCTGCCCCCCAGAAAATCCAGTCAGATTTTCCCTGTGACTTTCAATGTTTCATCTTGGAAAGATTTTCCTAATATCTGCCTGAATGCTCCTGAAATGCTGTGGACAGTGACTCTCTCAGGAAACAAATGAGCTACAGCAGAATGGCCTGGGAAAGATGTTTGAAGGGAAAATGTATCACTGGAGGTCATATTCCATCTTACTACACAGATGCCCAAAGCTAAAAATATATATTGCAAACTCTGGTTTTCTGGAGGATAAATGGAGAAAGACTGGGACAGGATGTATTCTGAGCTTACTGGTTCCCTAAAAGGAGTAAACAATAGCAACAAAAATACCCCTGGTACTCTGTAGCTGCTGTCAGCTGGAGCTGGTGAAAAGGTATTTGATAATGGTGCACACTGCTAAATGTTTATTTCCTGACAGCTTTTCTGAATAAACAATTTAAGTTGGATTTCTCTGCACCAACTAAATTGTTTTAAATGTGATCTCCAGCTGCATTCTTTATGTGCTTTTTTATTACTCCTCAGTGCATAAGCCCTATAATCAGCAAATGGCAATGTTTCCTTGTAGAATGCAAATGCAACTTCTTCTTTGGATGCACCTGATTTCCCCTCCCTGCTGGTCTACACTGAGGGAGGTCAGTGCATAAACCTAGCATGGCACAAAGCAATCAAGACATTTTTAGCACCTATGCATGCCAGAGGAAAAAAAAAATCAGTTTCCAGGACAGGACAAAATAGCAAAATAGAACCTACAAGCTTGTCAGAGCAGTGAGTTGATGGTGGAACAAAACTTCCTTCACCAGTTATGTTGTTAATGTGAGTGCAAGCTTAAACATGCTCAGAGATAGAACCAGTTTCCTGATGTTGCTGAAAGTGTGATACATTCTTTGCCTCAGGTGTCACATTCACTTTCAAACAAGCCCTCCTAAGCATTTTATTCCTGCACAGGTTGTATTGCTGAACATGATTCAAATAGCACATGGTGTGCTTTAACTAACACAGACAGCCTTTTTAAAGGCTGTGATGGATCCTCATTATTGCATAGACATTCTTTTCACTGGTAACAGCAGAACAGAGCTGTTCTATTTATTGGGCATGTGTACATCCTTATTTTCTAAAGCAAAATATATAACTCTGTATTTTACCACATTCTTGGGTCCCACTGCATGAATCCCTCCACCAGCAAGGAACTCAGCTTGCAGTCTCCTCTCTTTGTAGCCTTCTATTCCAGCTACCAAAGCTGGACAATCCCTGAGACTAAAGGGGAAGACACATTTAATTGGTTGTGATAATTCTTAGAAAACTAGATTCAACTAGGACAGTAAATCCATGTAGTTGAATTGCTGTACTTACTATAAGTGTCAAGAAGATCAAGTGACTGCAATTAGGAAAATATATAGAAATTTGAAATGACTCAGCCAAGAAATAACAGCATTAAAAAGACCCATGTTGGCACTCAGGGGACTTGACAAGCTCTGATGGTTCAGCCAACACTGAGATTTAAAAAAAGATATCTCTTAACTGTTAAGTGCTGCAGAGAAGTTGACAAAATTACAGTATAATAAAACATTGTATTTGATGTCAAAGTGAAGCTTTATACAGACAGTGCACTGATGATATTACCTTCTGGAGTGGAAGGTGATGCATAAAATAAAACAGGCATGAGAAGGCTCTAGGCAGTGCAGGTGAGAATTGTTCAAAAGATGGCAAGCACCAAGTAGAACGTTATAAAATCAAATGTGGGCGTTTATCATTCTAAAATCAAAAGTGGGCAAAAAACATTAAGGTTTGAAATCATGGGATAGGAAAAGCTACAGAGAGTTTAAGAACAGAGCTAGAAATACAAAGGGCAGGCTAGTCCCAGAGTGATGACAGAGATGAGGGCAGGATGCTCTAGGAAGCATCCCTGTGCCCTGCAGCCCATCAGCCTCCTGACAAGGCACTGCAGGGATTTGACTTACCCGCCTCAGAACTCTGTTTGCTGGGGGGAAGTGGAAAGAACACAACTTTCACATTCTCTTAAGTATAAGACTTCTGAAATGTTAAGTTTATACAAAAGTGATTCACTTCTTTTTACACCACAGCACATTATTTAATTGTATGCTGTCAAACTGAGATGTGACAAAATACATGCAACAAATACTTAGGTATACACCTGAATTTGCCTCAATTACATCTGGCAAAGGACAGAATGAGCAACGTATTTTTGGCAGAAAAAACATGGAAAGTGGTTTAAACAAAAGGAAGGTTTTACAGCTCAGACAATTACACTATTCAGTGTTGCTCTGAGCTGAGAAGAAAGCATTTCTCCATGTGTAGCCTCCAAATCTAACTGACAAGGATTCACTGGAGAAAATACAGTATTAATCTTTTCCTTAATATCTACCAACAGCAGTTAGAAAATATTAGCTAGTAAATGCCACACAAATAACTCAACCCTGTGTAGAAGAAATAGCTTCTTCACCTTGGGGATGTTTACTTCAAAAGTAGCCACTGTTCTGCCTGCAGGATTAACAAATCAGACCAGATTTGTCCGTGTTTTAGTCATATTGAAACTTTTCCCCTGGAATACCTATGAATTTCCTAACCTTAAAAAAAAAAAAAAAAAAGCCAAAAAAGCACACACAACCAAAAACCACAAACAAGCCAACCAAATAACAAGCTGGCCTTAATTTAGTCCATCCTTGATACCAGCCAGATAATTTATTATCACAATTGGATTCAGGATGTAGTAAAGCTTGCAGATGGCTGCTTAGGAAAAAGTAAACCCTAACAGAAATGCTGGAGATCCAGATTAGCAAATGGCCTCTTTTAATCCCAGAATATGCACCTGGGCCAGGTGGAAGTAAAATGAAATAAAAGGGATATGGCCAGTGTCTACAGGAAGTGGCTAACAGAGTGACAAGCTGAGTGGTCACAGATTTAGCAATATTCTTTGGAAAGACAAATTCACAGTATTGATCATACTTGCCACAGGTAAATGAGTTAATGAGAAACAGTATTAAATCAGGAAATTGACTGTCAAAATAGTCAAGATAAAGAAAATTGTGAGCAAAGCAGTTCTTTGGTTCCCCCATCATCAGTATACTGCTTCCCTCTCAAAGCCAAAAATAAGCCAAGTCCCTTTATCTCTTTGACTAAAGACCAAAGTTGTAACTAGGTGTTACCTTTCCTGTGCACATGACATCAGGTAAGGAAAAACCATATTCAGTGCACACCACTGAATTAAGGAAAAATTGAAAATTTAGGACCATTTTATTTCATGCAAACTAAGTAATAAACACTTCTGGTTTTGATGTTCTATGGTGGCAAATAATTTATTTCTTTTTTGTGATATTTCTACCAGTGATTAATGCTGATATCAATGTGCTTATGAATTTACTGTTTGTCTACAAGTCCCTTGGCAGATGACATCCCACATGCTCACATTTATGTTCCTCCTCTGGCAATTTACTGGAGATTCATCTCCTCAGAGTGCTCAAGACTGACTGTTGGGAGCATCCCAACAATAAAAGAGAAGCAGGCAGTGTGTTTGTTGCCATAATGAGATTGAAACTTCCTTCCCAGTAAGTGGACAGCTGAATGACTCAGCCATTTGTCAGCTGAAGACAGAGAAATGGAGGTGCCTGGAGAAAAGAATTGCTTATTATGGATGGCAGCTGCTGTGACAGGAATATGAATCATGAGGAAAGCAGTTAGTTTACAAAGAGCCCAAAGGAGACTGGACAACATTGCAGAAATACCAGAGGACTCTAAAAATGCATTGAGTCTTAGAAATATAGTTATGATTTCCAGTAAGTGGTCAAAAAGGATTCGTGTCTTCAAAGTTCTTTGCCAAAAGGAGATTAAAGTTATAAACCCTACTTCACAGGCAAGATTTCTACCTAATTCATAGAACTTATTTTTTTTTTTAGAATGCAAGAGACTTGGTCACTTACTTTATTCAGAGAATTAAATTAACACTGCTTTGGCTGACATCTCAATTGAAATGTTTGGTAATCAATAAAGGAGTTGTAGTCATTACAGGAATGAATAAAGTCATGTTAGAGGTAACAAATGAAGGAACAGAACATGTTGTTGTTGGCTATGAGAACCAAGCACCAGCTTTACCTTCTGTGAGAAAACTGGAGTTAATTTTTAATGCCCTTATGCTACCATTGTACAAAAGGGGGAAAAGGCAAAGAAGAGTCTTCACATAAATATTCTAATTTTTGACTTTGAGTTCTTGGACAGAAGAAGTAATTGAGCTTACCTGAAAACCACAATAGAAACAGATATATTAAGAGATAGCCAACAGGATTATAAATTTTTTTTCTGGTTTATTTTTGGTCATCATCTAATTTCTCTGAGAGTCTTCATGTAAGAATCTTGTTTCCCAGCTTATGTCTTTTTGACCAGTGTTTGCAATCCCTTTGTATAACCTTTTCAAAATTTTGTACAAATTCTGTAAAATTTTTTTCTTCATATTCTTCACATTCTTTGCATTTTTCTGATTTTGTGGAAGCCAACTGAAAAAAAAAAAGCAGCAATAGTAAAGCAGGATACCAATCCATTCATTCTGATGAAATGTTTTTTGCCCTGTTTAGGGGAATAATTTCACTGAAGGTAATGGGTATGGAAAACACAAGTGGAGCCTTCCATGGTCTGTGCATTTCTTAGCTTTTTGAACAGGATTGTCTGTGAGAGGTACATCACTTCAGTGAAAAATGTAAATGATTGTCCCTCTGAAAATTAGGATACTTTTCTGCCTGTGTCTAACATATCTGACTGCAGGTACTGAAGTGCAAACTGTCCTTTATACACACACATTCAACACCCTACCACACGTAAGCATGCACAAAAGTATTTGCTTTGATAGGAATCCTGAAAGTTTTTTTCTACAAACAACTGATTTTTCATTATTATGAGTACAGGTCATAATCTCATTAGTTTTCATCTCACAGTTTATGTAACAAAAGAGGTATTTCTGCTATCCAATATTCATTTTGATTTGCCTTTTTTCCACACACCATTGGTGTTGCTTACCTTGTTTTTTTTGAAGCTGTCATTTCCATTTTTCCATATGTTCCACACATCCTGTGTTTTACTACAATTTTTGATACGGCATTCTTGAAATATCACTTCTGTCTCTAAGAAAAAGCACCTCATTACAAGTTCTTGGCATTCTTCCTGAAAAAAAAATGCAGTTGCAATAGTTTACAATTAAAAAAGAATGAACAAATGGAGGTCATAATTTATTATATAATTTAAACCACAAGTATGATATAAGTGAGACGTAATCTAAGATAAAATCAGCCACAAAGAGACTGGTTTTTACTTCCTGGGCATCTTTTCTTACTATTCAAATACATTTGAATATTTGCAGAGATGGGCTGTGAGAGCTAAGAACAAAAAGATCAAGCAGTTTGCTGAGATGGGGTGAAACATATTGTCTTAGTGAAGAACATAGGAAAATAATTAATTAGGATAGGAACCTGGCATATAACTAAACATAGTGGAATTAATTTAATATAATGCTTTAACTCAGAGACCTGAATTCAGAAAGGGTAAGAGAGTAAAGGAAGTAGGTAATGCTCCCTTAAATAAAAAATGAATCCCAGAATTATTTTAGCATTGTTTGCCTTGATAAAATGACTTTTAATCACACCATCACAGAATAGTTTGGGTTGGAAGGGACCTTAAAGATTGTGTACTTCCAACCTCTCTGCTATGCACAGGGACTCCTTTCTGTAGGCCAGGATGCTCAAAGCCCCACAGATCATCCCTTTCAATTGATTGATTTTAGCAGCAGATGACTAAATAAAGATAATTCATACCTGCTTGCATAATTTATTATAAGCACGTTGATTAGAAGTACTATTTATTCCAAGGCAAATTATTTGATTTTAGACAAATTTATCAAATTAGAACAAGTCTACTTTAGGGAATAATTCTTAATAAGGCTATGAAGCCACCATATTAAACATTAGTTATGGTTATATGTGAAGTTTACTTACATCCTCATCTGCGTTTGCAGTGTATAAACTGACATCAATATCCTACAAGGAAATAAGAGTTGTAATTATAAACATTGGCTAACAAACACCATCCCTCTCCCTCTCACTAGCACTTCTTAGCTGAATGCACTGCTAAATATTTTATTAAGTCTTCTTCTATGATTATATGAAATGCTGACTGTTTCATGAACTTACTTTGGACGTCTTGATCGTTTGCAAATCTTGCAGAACTTCTTCCCACTTGCAACGATCTGCTTCTGTCTTTGGTACATAAGCACTGGAACAGAAGAAACACAGTGACCACTAGGCTAAACAGGAGGGATCTACAACGTTCATGATGAAAAAAAATGACTCAGCACTGTAAGATATTAGAGATACAGTGTTTACATGTAAATACATATGGCAAATGTTTGGGGCAAGCAAGCATATTTGAAAAACAATAAAATAACACAGATACATAAAAACAGTTTCTCATGTCACACACAGTATAAACAATGTGGGTTTTTTTAGAAGGCCAGATTTATAGAACATAATGCAAGAGAAAGGTTCAATTACCTGATGTAAAACACCTAAAATTCTTTTAAAGTGTAAAAATAAAATTGCAAATCCACTCTCTGAAGTGACGGGAGACAAGTAACAGCTGTGATAGTAAAAATAAATAATTTGTAATTACTGTCTGATTGGCATTAGGTTTGTATTTACCATAGGAAGAAGATGATTAGTCCCATTTCATTCTTTAAAAGGCAAAAGCAGTGGCTGTTCAGAAGCAGATACTGCAGACAAATACTTTTCAGGTGTGTTTTCTGGAAGACACAACCAAAGTGATACCTTGTCACCATTTGATTCCACAGAATTTTGCTTTAGTACTGACTTAATTAACCAATTTTCCAAGACTTCCAATAAAGACAAAACCCTGTTGTGTGTAGCTGGAAAGACCAACTGATTGGTAGCTTGGAGAAACACATAATCACTTTACCAGACAGTTGGTAGAAAATCAGATGCTGAAGGCACACTGAAAACCTGAACTCATCCTGGGCTCCCTATTTATTTATCAATTCATACTGTAGGCTGCAAATAAACACAGAGTCAATATTAAATAACTTTTGTTTTCCACCTCTCCCCTGGCTACCATTTCTTACCCAAATTCAATTAATTCCCTACAACTTTAACTCCAATACTGTGGCTGCATATATGTGAGGCTCTACATTGAATGCATCAAATACTATAGTTATGTGTACACATGTTAAATAAAATATTTAGATACAGTATGTACTTACATTTCTTTACACAGTTTATAGGTGTCTAATAGTGGGCAGTGATGCATTTAAGAATTTCCTCAGTGGAGTTTAGCAACTGGAAATAAGGAGAAGCTGTGAAAAGCTGTGCATTGTCCATCAAGAAACATTTCTCTGTGCACAGCCCAGTAACCTTTGTTCCAAAGTCACAAACCCTTCAATTTAGCTGATAAAGTTTCCTCACAGACTTAGGTTAATTATCTGCTGCAGTGCAGTGGTTTTGACCCAAGTTTTAATTCCTTATCCAACATGCAATACTCTATAACTGACTCAATTGACGTTCCTTTACCTGCAAACTCGTAAGTAAATATTTTTAAATGGACCAGAAAACATAACAAAAGGAGAGCTGTGCAGGAGTAAAAACATCCAAATGGGAGGTCAGTGCATGCACTATCAGGATTGCAGCTCACTCACTGAAAGCTACTTTAATAAAGCAGAGCCAGGAGAGTAATGATCATGCGACTTCCCCAAAGTATTTCTAACAAATATTTGCTACTCTCTTAAATAGAAAACGCTTCAAATACATTGCAATTATTTTGTTCCCAATTCCCAAAGATAGAGCTGAAATAACATAGTTACCTAATCCTACATAAATGTCCACATTCAATAATGGGATGCAGTTTCAGTCCCTTTAATCCCCTTTGCTTGTCCAAAACCTGTTCAATAAAAGCCATGTCAATGAATGATACTGGACAATCTAGATTGCAGTAAGGACAGAGCAGGTAACATCTCCTACATCTTCTGAGCAACTTCCATGTGGAGGATGCTGTGTCATGGTCAGCAAAGTAGGTCTACAAGCAAGGCTAAACCTGTCCCTACTTACACAACAAATGGAAATTGAAAATATGAGTACTAAAGCAAAATATTAAGTACTTACACACATATATTTTTCAAATGTACGGGATAAAAAAAGGAAAATAATTATTAACTGTATGGACATGGTCAAAAGAGCTAAATCACTTTGCTATAGCATGACAGAAAAGCTTTATCCTTTTCACAGTTAGCATTGATTTGAAATTGCTATGTTATTTCTTCTGGGTTTGGATTTTGTTCATTTGCTTTCGTTAAATCTGCATACTACCTTCTTTCATTTGATATGCTAATGCTTAGAAAATACCCTACTTTGGTTGGGTTTGGGGTATTTTTTACTATTATTATTTAAGTGAAGTCAGAAGTAGCCTTATGGGGAAACTCCAAGTGTATTTAAAGAAATTTTAAACCTGATTGGTGGATACAGCTGAAGAAAACATGTTTTAACTCCAAGTTTTAAGAAAATAATTTAAAGTATACTAGAAATATTTTACAATAGCTGAACATTTTTATCATTCTACAAGCTGGTTTTTATGAAATGAGATGAGGTGTCAACAAATTACAAAAGACTTATGATGGGTCCATAAGCACAAACCAGCTTTGTAATTTATAATTAGTGTTATGGGCCTTAAAATTTGATTTGAGAGGGAGGCCCAGTCCAAAGGAATTGTCAAATTTATGCTGCAGCACAAAGTTTCATGATGAAGAAATAATATATTATGATATCTAGTGAATAACAGACCAGGGTTATCATTAGTTTGTCATTTGTTTCCTATTTTAAATAATCGTTTACTCTAATGACACTTCTTAATGATTGAATGTCTGCATCTTTGTTTTTCCTAAATATTGTAGGTAACCTTTATTATAATAAATTATAATTGTTAGAGTAAAAGAAATGCTTAGATTTTAGAAGTAATAGAAATCTTGTACTGATGATAAATATGTGAAAAATGTACTACATGCATATTATAAAGTTTGTTCATAAAGAGGTTTCAATGTCATCTACATCCCTCAACACACTCTTTTGCAGACCCAATGCAGGCCCAAACTATTATTCAACAACAGAAGCATTGCAAGCTGGCTTAGAAGCTTTTACAAATCATTCTCCTACCTTGAACACACAATGTTATAATATAAAAATTTTCTTTGGATAATGTCTGGGTTTGATTTCTTACTCTGTGTAATCATTAACTAATTACTCTCTGTGTTTGTTGTATCTCTGGTAGCTTGTGTCCTGATTACTTGCTACTCTAAAGATTAAAGCCTTTGGAAGTGAATATATGCTCTTCCAAAAATACCATATATCTGAACTTTTTTATTAATATTGTCTTATAAATGACTCCTTGAATCCTTGAGATAAGATATTCATAAACAAGAAAATTTCTTTCCAGGCTATGCCATTTGGTTCTATTGGCAAAGGCCTTCTCTTTTTTCTCCTTATTTTGAACTGTATTTTTATTCTTTATTTATATCTTTATTCCTCATCTGCTTCCTTGTTCTTGAAAACAAATGACCGGAAGCATACAATGTGCTCAGATCTTATGAGGGATTTAGAAACTGGTGATACTGTTTTCAGTTTCTGTGGGAAAAAGGGAACTTCTGCCAGTGTTTCCTTCACAACTGGTGGCTCAGATCTCAGTATGTTTCCCTGCCAGAACTTTATGTGCACTTCTTTCAAAATCCTGAAATGTCCTGAAAGTCTTTCACCATTTGCAAAAACTCTCACCCTATAAAAAACCCTAGAGCCCTGAAGTCTAACCTTCTTAATTGTTGATTATTCTCGAATTTTCTTTAACTTCTTGACTTCTAGCATACAGTTTTTTCCTTGATCAGCCCCCTTTCCTTGTTCCCATGAACAAATCAGCCTTCTCAAACACCTCTCTCTCATAACAATCTATTTTTCCCATTTCTCATTTCATTCTGTAGTACAATAGACTTCTTGCACATTATTCATTAATATTATTTTAGTCGGTCTCTTCTTCTCCCCTGTTCTAAAAATATGCGTCCTCAGCATTTTCTCTCTGGCTTCCTGTGCAGCGAAGTACTTTAAATTGTCTTTTCTCTGTTACTGCTGCAAATTTCCCTCTAAAATCTTACCATCACCTCCAGCTCCTTCCAGTCCTTTGGCATTTTATTAAGAAACGTCTCATGCATAAAGTAGGGGTCTTTTTAGATCTGTATTCAAGTGCTGTTTGCATCATGTAGAGCTGATTTTACACCCACTCATCTGCATTGTTGCATCAACTCTTCTCTGTGTTTCTTTTGCCACAGTAATTAGAGCCTCCTTGAGTGAAGTCTGCCTCCTCCCCCAACAAAAACTCACCCGGTGGCTCTTGCTCTGCTATCCTCTGCTTGTTGGCTCCACTAATTAATTGTTCTGTCCTCTTGCTCTAGTGCAATTACCTTCAAGGGGACAAAGTACCAAGTAACTGCACAGCTAGAGCGCTGCATCTATTTGAGGTTTTGTATTGTGCATAACACTGGAGCTTCTTCTCTCTGCTCAGAAGCATACAGAATGTCAGAGTCCATAAGACTGAGAAGAAAATCAACTTTTTTCCCTAGTCCTGTACCAAAAGAACATTCTTTTCTGATTTCTTTTTTCCAGGGGTGGAGCCATGGAGAGTAAAGGTTTCATAAACTAGTGGAAGTGACTTGAAGAGGAATGGAACCCATAAATAAAGCAGTACTTCTGAACTAGATAGATGTTTCCATATTGAGCCCTTAAATAAGTAATTTTGAAATCAAATTTTCATGGATTATGAGTAAGTTTTAGAGATAAGACATATTCTAACTGCCTTGTCATGGAGTAAATGCTGAAAGTCAAAGAAGCAGATTCACTCAAGAATCTCTCTGCTCTTTCATCCCTAAGTTACTTTAGGCTTCTTATAGGAAACAATCAAAGGGAAACAAAGAAAAAAAGCCCTGAATTTGAATTCGTGTGAGAATGTAATTCAAATTTATAAAAACAGACAACCACATTAATGTTCTCTGAGACAATAAGAAACTCTGTTGCAGATGCTACCTATACATACAGCCCTCAAAACCACTGCCAAAAAAACCTTATTTTACATCTCTGATAACTTCTGAATACCATTTGATGCTGCAACTATTAAAGAGTTGCTTCCACACTACCGTGGTGCCTGAATCTGTTGTAGTTCCTCTTCTCCCTATCACTCTTTGCACTGATAAGGAAATCTGCCCTCAAGCTCTGCCCGGTGTTATCAGCAGCTCTCCTCCTCAAGGTTTCAATGTAAAGAGTGAGCTTTTCATGCTTCTGTCTGGCTTTCACTTACTGAACCAGAAAGGAAGCCAATGGAATTACCAGGTCATAAACTGAATCACACGGCTGAATGATGGTCTGGCTGAGAGCCAAACCATGCCTTGCTTTGTTAAATGTTTAAGCTTTTATGACATGAAGTGTTTTCTTAAAAGTTTTGAATTTAGCTAGAGTTAGGCTGGCTAAAGCACTTTTTCTCAGCAATAAAAGTGGGCAGTCTTTAAGTATGATTCTTATTTGGTTACTTACCTTTCACCTCTCTCCCACCAAGAACTACAGCTTTTCTTGGTTTTGTGGTATAGTGGTGACATTCTTGTGGAGTACTATCCTACATGGCTTATTCTGCTTGTATCAGGGAAGTGTTAGCCTTCAAAAGAGTTTTCTCAGTAATCAGCATGGCAGGAGACTCTCTCAGTTTATA